ATAGAGTAAGTCGGTTGTAATGATGTGTGGATAGAGCAGAATGATAATGTTTTTTTTTCCCTCGCTCTTTGTTAGGTTTCCCTAGTACTGACTAACATTGCAGAGATGTGGAATTTGGTAAAAATATCTCCAGAAATGTTTCAAATTTGACACTGACACTACCTTGAACTTTACTAAATAATAATATTAGATATAATGTATTTAGTTTATGGATAGCAAGCCCAAATAGGCTTGCATAAAATAATAAAATACTCATTTTGTTTTTGTGTGTGCCAATAAATTTCAAAGATAGGATAAAGATTAAATTTCATAAAATGTTAAAGTATGAGGCAAAGGAGTCGCCAAGGGGGGCAGGAGGGGGCAGCTGCTCCCCTAGAAATTCAAAAAAATTATTTAAATGCTAAGTTTTAATTAAAATAATCATCTTAGGCTTCTTGTAAGTTTAAAAAAATGTTTTAATTAAGATATTTCTTCTCAGGTACATAGTAAATGATTAAACCTTTATGAATCATTTTTATTTTACCTACATACAATTCATATCTTCTATCAATTTATATTGTCTTGCCCCCCTGGCCCATTGGCTGGCGACGCTCTTGGTATGAGGTATAAATTTAAACATAGTTTCTTATCCAGGGAATTCACATCAATTTAATATAATTTATATTTAACTATCAAATAATACAAAATCTATAATAAAAACCAGGATTAATATTACTTTGAAAAATATTTACATAAAAATCAATAAAAGAAAATGAAAAAGAAATCAACAAGCAATGATAATTAATGAAAATTCTGTAACCAATTTTACTTACTTTGTAAATTTTAAATAAACATTATTTCTTTTAAAAATCATTTACATTTAAATGAAATTCTCTTGCATGACATGTTTGCCACTCTGGGTATGGTATTTATTACAATTTATTAAAATATTAAAGATATACTAGTAAATATTACTAAGAGCTCCCACTTCACAAATTTATGCGATAAACAATTACATCTATAATTGAAAAATTTATATTAATTTTATAGTTTCGTATATATTTATGTTGAACTTATCCCATAATCTGTATACCTATAAAAAATATAGACATCTTATTTTGACAAATTTTACAGGTACATGTACATCTTATTTTGGAAAATTTAAGTTTTCATTTTTTTAAGTAAATAATAATTGGTTGCAAAGTTCATAAAACAATTATTTTAATATTAATAATAATAATAAAACATGTTTTGTTTAATGAGGTTTTGTACAGTACATATGATCTTTTGTCATTTAAACAAAAGTGGTATTGACAATGATATCATAAAAGATATTAATTTCAATATTTTGTATAAAATGGATTTAGCTATTAATAGCTATTATAATTAATAGCTAAAATGGATTTAGCTATTAATTATTTCTCAAAAAATAGTTGGAAAGAACTGTGACTGGCATTATCATTGATGATACTGTTTTTGACAACTTTATGCTGAGAAACAATTTATCTGTCATATTAACAGTTTTATTATTTTTATATTCATTTGTATGTATGCTACAAAAATTATAATAAAGTTTTTAAATCTAATTGAATAAAATTTGAATGAATCATTTATTAAAGCAAATATTAATTTAGATTGTTTTATGGCAAGAGCAAGGGAATATTATTGCAAAAATTTTAGAAATCATTGAAATACAAATTTTAAATATTTTCTTAGAACAGGCATTTTAATATACCATAATTTCCTAGTATGATAGCTTGCACCTGCTTTCAAATTGACTTTAAACTCGGATAACCCACAGATTACTGCAGGAAATTATAACAAATGTGTCATATAATGTTCCAAAAAATCCAGATATATTTTAGTTACTATATACAATAAAGGATCCTAAGTACACCAATTAAAAGCACTTATTACTTTATAGAACTTTTCTAAACTTTTCATTACTGTCAAATTATGAATGATTAATATTTTATTCAAATGAATGAATTCTATTATTATTTATGGATTTAAAAATTTATATTAAATCTCAAAAATGTTTTATTTTAACAAATTAAATTAAATTTTTAATGAAATCAGATTTACTGTTATTTATTACTGTTTATTTTCTTAAAAAACATTCTATTTTTAAGCAGCATTTTTTTGAAATTTTTCATAAAATTATAACTCAGTAAATAAAAATATAAAAGAACAAGCAATTATTTATTGTGACATTGTCACAATGCTGTGTTGCAATTTTTAATCATATTTTAAATTAATTTAATTTAAAACACATTCTCTCCACTTCAAATTATTGATAGTAGTGACTTGCCCCTATACATTATACTTTTTCTTTAACAATTGAGTCTTGCCAGTCATCTAACTAATGCCTTTCAGGGGAAATTTTTCAATTGAAATAACATTACTTCCGGTTTGCATCAGAAGTTCTTATATAGTTAATCATGGCCTCCTGCCCCTAAGGTTTCCATATCTGATCTAGTCATTCATCTATCTAACTCCATTCTTGAGATTAATTAAGAAAAGATGGATGGACAGATGACAGTGGAAATTTATAGGTCTACAATTTTTTCAAATTGCAGTGCAATAAGACAAATGGCATATAAAACATTCTTTGTTTTAATGCATCAAAAAATAACTTCTAAAATTTAAATAAATATGTTAACTAGTTCCTGCAAATCAATAATTACTAATTGTTTAATAACCAACCAACAGCTGAAATAATCAGGCAGAAATTATCCTACAAATTTGTAGGATAATTTCTATGTGATTATTTCAGCTGTTGGTTGGTTGATTATTAATTAATACATCAAATTATTGGGATGTTGATGTAATTACTGTTGTTTTTTGTTTAACTGTTAATATTTCTAAAACCTTAAAATTTGAAAAATTAACTGCATTTTTTAAATATAATTAAAAAATGCTTGTTTTTTGAATTGATAATACATTAAATAACATTTATAGTTCAGTGTATCAATAAGGAAAAGTAAAAGATACTATAAGATTGCATCTTTTATTTTATATTTTTTTTAGTTATATTATTATACATTTCTGTGTAATAATATAACTAAAAAAATATAAAATAAATTAAATTCCCACATGCTTTTGAGCACCATAGATGACTTTTAGAGGAAATTTTTGCTTTTTAAAAATCTTCATCAAAATTCAAATATAAATACATGCCACATACAAATAAATTATAACGTCATCAACAAGAAAAAACTACTACAACTATCTTTCAGAAAATTATAGCAAAGCAGTGAATCTCTCTTTCTGAGTTATTAATTTTCATAAAAAGTGCATAAACTCAAGGTTGCAAGTGAATAGTTATTGTGGAATATTGAAGGGTTTTTCTTGTGTAAACTGTTACTTATAAGTTTATTTTATTATTTTTCTGTGTATAATTATATAGTTAATTATAATTTAGGTTAACTTTCTTATATTTTTAAGAAAGTTATGTGAGGTTGCTGATGATGGGAGAGTAAAAGGGAAAAAAAATCAAATTCAGGATGGATAGAGGGGTGTGTATACATTTGTGGGTTTAATGGATTCAGAGACTGGATGTCTTTACAGATATATGTTTATTTATACAGTAGACCCCCTATAACACTGTTGATAATTCCATGTTATATGAATTCCATGTTGTACAAGTCACTTAGATTTTACAAATACGTGAGCCGTTCACAGCCCGGCACACGTATTTGTAAAATTTAAGTGACTCATACAACATGGAATTCATATAACATGGAATTATCAACAGTGTTATAGGGGGTCTACTGTACATAAATATTCACTTACAGAATGATTTTGTAGCCTCTTTTTTCAAAGGTGTTTGAGGAATTTAAATGTCCAAAAACAAATATCCTGGACCAGTCATGGACAAGAGGCAACATGACTGTAGACAATTCATCATAGATTGTCAATGAGATCATTTGTTGTAGGTTGTTGGATAAGATCAGGCCTTGGCAGTGCTGTACATTGGCTTTAGCACAGGAAAATGAAGTCCAAGAATAGTGGCAGCACCATACATACACAAGTGGAATGGATTTATTAGGATGGATGACACTTCACAGTTCAGAAATGGTGGAGAATAGATATAAATGAGTTATGGATCTTTACAGCACTCATGACAAAACTGAGCACAAGGAACAAATAACATCATGTCATTGAGATTTGGGCCTTTATAGTTTTTGCTTTCAGATTAAATGTTCTGATTGGCTTCAACTTGTTCTCATCTTTTCCCAAATGACCATTTCCCTGTATCCAGATAAAATTGGTCCAGATCAGGTTGTGAGAAATGTCAATCTTTGATGTTTAACTTGCACTGCATAATGACTCCAACAAGTGATGTTTAATGAACATTGATATGATTGCTCATAATTTAGTACAATATGCTCTCTTTTTTGTCACTGAGGAATCTCTATTATTTCTTAATGAAGCATTTTTATTAAGCAAGATATTTGCTTTCACTTCTATCTAGGGTAGCCAGATACTTGAGGATAAAATCCAGGACAGATCAAGTTCTTAAAGATACTGAGACACTTCAGTTATAGGGCATGCAATAGATGTGTATTTTTACTCTGTCAGTCATAGAAATAAATTTAAAATGTGGAAAAAGATACTTCATTGTAGGAACAATTTTTAGAATAAAGTCTTCCTGTTGCTAGATGGCAGTTGGAAAAATTCGGGCCAGTCCCAGAAAACCAGGAAATCTGGCCACTACATCCATCTCATCATTATTTTACAAACTTTATGATCATAAGATGAAAATTCATCTCTTCAGTTTGATACTCTTTAAAATTTCAATATGTGAGATTTGTATCTTACTTGGGAATCACAATTATGGTTTTAAATTAGACTTGTATAAATGTAGAGTATCTTTAGGTAATTGTTATTTAAAATTTATATATTTAAATATTTTTAAATGTAAATTTATCATATTCCTCATCAATTTGAATAATAAGTTTTGGAACAGTTGTAAATTTATAAATAAAATTTAATTAATTGAAGTATTTTATTTGCAGCATCCAGACAGCACAGATACCTTTGCTTTGGAAGAACATCCCTGTGGTACCACTGAAGTGAGTGTATATGGCTTCCTTGCTCTCTGTTGGCCCTGTCTTTGGCTTCAGTCTTTGGTAAGACCTCCTGTCCTGTTTTTGTTTTTTTAGAAGCCTGGGTGGAATATCAGTTAGTGACAAGCTTTAATATAATTTGGAGATACAGTTTTTCTCAGAGAAAGTTAAAAGAGTATTTAAAGAATTTAGTAATTACTATACTGGTAATTTATTGTAATGTTTTAGAACATTTATTGTGAATTCACTTTTTTTTTTCAAACAGAATTATTATTCCATTTTTATATTTTCTAAGAAATACTCTGCAAACTATAAAAGATATTTCATTATTCCAGTGCATACAATAATACAAATTGTGAAAAATTATTTTAAAAAATCCAACAGTTATAAAATTAATTTGACAAATTTGTTTTGCTTAATATATCATTATCACTATATTATAACAGCACAATCACAGTTTTTTATGAGAAAATTGAAAATTATGTATTTAGTAAAATTTGTGATAGATAAAAGAGAATAAAATTCACTAATTTATTTCATTTAATAGTTTTTTTGATAGATTTTATACCAGATTTCTCTATTTAGATTCACAAAATAATGTTAATAAAATTCATTATTATAAACTTCCTTTAAAAAATATTTGTAATCACAGATTGATCTTACTTTTATTAAGTAAAATCATAAATTCATATTAAGAGAAAAATTTATAATTCTTAAATAATTATATAATTATTAATGAGAAAAACAAAAACGTTACAAAAATCTTTTAATTGCTTGCATTTATATCTATTATTTTTTGTATTTTTGTAATGTTTTATTTATACAGGGTCATTTGTTTATAGTGTTTTTAATTCATTTTTAATGAGGTGTGAATGCTTTAATTTTAACATAATTTATAATTAAATTCTAAGTAAAAAAATTAAATATATTTTAAAAGTTAAACAATTTGTTTTAATGTTGAAATAAACATTTATATTTTTGAATTTAAAAGTTAGTTTTATATATTTATATTCATCCCTTGAATTACACAATACCATATTTTACAATTTAGGTTACTTTGAATTTATTTTACATTCAAATCATACATATTTATCGTTATTTATCGTTTATCATCTACATTTCAAATTACAATCTAATTTATCTGCCATTTTTAAATGTATTACATCAGTCCAAAAATAATAATTTAATAAAATAATAATTCATTTGATTTTTTTTGTTAAGATCAAAGTGAAGTATAATAGTTGTACAGTGATCAGTTATTGAATGAAATCTTAATCTAAAATTCAATTCTAATGTAATAATTTTTATTTTAAAAAGAGAAAATATTATTTTTAGTGATTTAACATTAATAAATTTTATGCTATCTATACTGTAATTTAGTTTCAAGGAATAAACCACCATCTTAAACAGTGATATAATCTCAAACTCAAACTTTGGCAAATCTATACTGAGATGCACATCATACTGTCTTCCTATCCATTTCAATACTACAGTAGCTTGTTTGTATGACCCTCTTTGATGCAAACTAGCAGCATTTAGGATATTAATCAGGAGGGCATATACTCATTGTACAGTGGCACATTATACTATGGGAAAAAATGGCAATTGCCTGGGGCCCCTGTGAAATGTACAGTGCGGACAGGAAAACACATACACGTTTTACCAATTAAACAAGTTTAATTTCGCGCTAACATTGAAACATATATATATACAGAATAGGTTTCGATTCCCGCTGTTTACCTACAAACATTTCCAAAATCCTGAGTGACCAGGTATACCAACAGACCGGTAGTTACTTTCTTGGTAACTACCTCCCGACAAATTTAGTTGTGCGCGTAAACTTAAACTAACTTAAACTAAGAGATAGGAAAGGTAGAAGGGAAAATAAGAAGAATTAAAGGACAGAGGGTACCCAATTTTCCTGTTAGTTCTCCACCGTTTCTCGTCTCAGCTTCTTTCTCATCTGTTCTCCTTTTAGAACAATTTGGGTCCGTCCGTTCTGGGGTTTTTTCTCTATAATCGTCGACCCAACTCTTCTGCCGATCCACTTCTTACGGCCTCCTTCTGCAGTGCTCCCTGACTTTCCGTTTCAGAGCCTGCTGCCACTCATGTCTCTCTCTCTCTCTGAGTCCGGCACAAGAATGCTTCTTGAAACTCTTCCTTTTTTCCTCCAGCCTCGTTTTCCCTTTTGTTCTAACGCTATCTCCTGATGGGTTAGGGGTGAGGCAAGTTCTCCAAAGTCCGAGACAAAGGAACAAAGAAATCGGAAAGAAGGAAAATTCTAGAATTTAAATTAAACTAAAACTATACAGACTAATAATAATAATAATAACTCTACCATGGTCACCACACTTGGTCGTGGTGGGAGAGCCCAGTAATTTTACTAAACCATAGGGCAATGCAGGCTGGAGCACAAGCTCCTGGTAGGGACACCCATGCCAGTAAGATCTATGGGGAGAAATGAAGCTAAGAGTGACCATACACCCACATTATGTGGAGATAATTATCATGGTAGTAACCAGATCTAAGTATGATACTGGCTCGGACGTCGCCCGGGTTAACAAGGTCCGCGTTCGTGGGTTAGGCAGAGGCTCACGTTCGAAAAATAGGCTCTTGGTTACCGGTGGCGAAAGCAGTGCCGGCCCAAACATGGCTACTGCAATGCCCTCAACAGATGTGAGGAATCAACCTGGCTTTGGTGTTTCTGTGGCAATGCATCCACAGACCACAAAGGCTGGAAAACCATGCCAACGGATGAAATGGACAACAGAAATGAACAAGTTTATCATCCTTACTTACTACACCATCACAAAACTCGAAACAAACATGACAGCATACAGACAACAACTACACCATAGATTCACACAACAATATCCTCACCTCACTGTCACCAAACAAAGGGTTGTTGATCAAAAACGAACAATTATACACAACAGCCTTATCCCACAACCAACACTTGAACTTATCAAACAACAGGTTGCTGATCAAATACATCAACAGACAGAAACATTTAACATTAATGAAGATCACGTAACCTGTCAGCATAATCCAGCAACAAGCATTGATAATAGCACACATACAACAACTACCACTAATGATACTACAGGCACTTCCTCATCTATCACTGATAACATAGACATAGAATTAGTTNTCACAATGTACAAAACACATGCACAGAAAAAATCAGCAAGTACACAGAACTCGCCTAGGAAATAAGGCATCTGTGGAGGATGGATAGAGTGCTTATTGTACCTGTCGTTCTCTCCTGTACAGGTGTGATACCTCACACACTACACAAAAGTCTGGGAACATTACAATTGAGTAGAAATACATACATCACATTACAGAAGGCCACTATATTGAATACATGCCATATTGTTAGGAAATTCCTGAATACAGACACACACACTGACACACTTATTTAATTTTAGTTTTGTTTTGGTTGCTATGCCTTGACGTTGGTCCGGCATAGTACACAGCCACCGGTGTGTACCGAGTATAACTCACAAAACCCAACATAATAATAATAATAAAAGAAAACAGGTGTGTAGCCACACCCCACTAACAGGGGGCCCTAAACAAATCTTTTATAAACTCATTACCATAGTAAGAATATCAGAATTTAAATTTGGACCATATCTGGGAACCCTAGATTTCTACTGTGGCGCAGGGTGCACTGGCACAGCAAAGAACTTAGTCTGCAAAAGGTCGCATTAAAAATGAATGAGGATACCAGGGATTCCCCAAAAATTCCTATGAAGAAAATGTTTGAAGTCAACACTGTACATAGAGCCCCTAATTTAAATTTGCCTGGTTTCCCATGAAACTATAACCACTGCCATTGTGCAAAAATTCAGGATAAAGCAGATAGTAATATCATTAGGTTACAAAGTTAAAATGATCAACTGTCTGATCCAGGCATTTTTTCCAACAAACATAACACCATCCCTAAAAGATACTCAATGTTTATATTATCTGCCTGATTGAACTTGATACTTAAATAATTAGCAGAATTATTCAACACTAGGATCATATACAAATGTAATTTCACTTTCTATCAGTACTTAAGAAATGATAAGAACAAGATATCAGAGGACAGCAAAACAAGGATTTACATAATTCCAGCAAAAATGGGTAGTAATGGGTTGAAGAGAGTAAACATCATATACACAATTAGAAATTTTGCACAGTGGATTAAAGAACACAAATACAACATCAATAAAAATAGGAAGAATACAGTGTTAGTAAGTTTTGCTAATAAAAATTGTGATAAACTGGTCGATGAAGCTAATGGAACATTTCACAAAATACTGCAATGGAGCAAGGAACAGATGCTCCCAATTAACTATGCAAAATGTGAAGCAATGGTGTGTACTCGAAAAAATAAACGTGGACAGTTACAAAAAACCCTTAAACCTCATATGGATAATAACAGAATTAAACAGGTGAAAGTTTTGAAATACCTTGGAATATTCTTCGACCTAAAGCTCAGTTGGCACAATCACGTGAATGAAATTAGCAAGAAAACGAGTCAAAGAGCTAACCTCCTCAATTGGATTATTGGAAAACACTGGGGATTAAACTTTACAAACAGCAAATTAATTTATAAGATGGCAATTGAGCCAGCTATTTTATACGCTGTCCCTGTATGGCAAGACGCACTTAACAACACACGTTTGCAAAAAATTACTGTCGATACAGAGAAGAGCAGCAATAAGGATTACTCGTGCTTATCGAACAGCTCCGACAGATGCAATACTGGTACTGGCTGGACTAATGCCAATACATATCACGGCAAGAAAAACAGTTTGGAATTGGCTCTGCACTAATATTCGGCTACACAGTTACACACAGGAGGATATTGAAAAACGTATTAAAAATAAAATGATTCCAAACAGCTACTGGAATATACCTGATATTATTAAAAAATATGAAATTGATAGAACTAGTAATGATATATGCCTCCAACTACACCCAGCAGACATGCACAGCTACGAAATAAGTTTCGATTATAATCCCGAAACAAACAGATACTTTCAGTGGATAGTGTACACAGATGGTTC